TCTTGGCACTGACCTACCAACATTTGTGTAAAAATACACATGGCCCTTTGTTAAAATACTAACCTGTGTAAAGAAATGTATTGGAGTGTCCTCCCACAACAACATCTACTCCTTTCACTTTCTGAGCAATAAGTTTGTCGGTTTCAAAGCCAGAGTGCCCCAATGCAATAACTTTATTTACACCGAGAGTTAAAAGTTTGTCTACTTGAGGTTGCAAAGCTGTAATCTCCTCTTCAAATACCAGATATGGGCCTGAAATATTAAATAAATTGGTTAGTAATACATAATGATAATGTGCAGACACACCTTACAAGCATTTGATTGTACATGTTACAATTTGGGGTGTTGCTGAAGTAAAAAAAAGAAACATTGAAAATGAATGTACATCTGAGAGAGTACATTCCTGAGGCGTACATTCTCTGAAAGGAAATATTATTGTATTGTTTTCAGCTTTTACGAATTTTCCATTTAGTCACCATATCACATTAAAAAAGAAAAAAGCACAAACATTTAAGAACCTTCACCACTGACATTTAATGATATTTTTAACCATATTTTTAATGTAAGTTTGACGTCTGACTTCAGTTTTCTAACAGTTGGTTAATGAAACCTAGGTAAAATGTCCTCAACATGCCTGTCCTATATCTTCTGGTTATAATATTTAATAAATTTAAGCTCATAAGATTATTTACTTTTATTTTGTGTAAAACATGTCATTAATGTTCCGTTTGTTTCCAAACTATAATGTTGGACTCCATGCTCTGACTTTCTAAAGAGAATACGGTTATCTAGACATGTGCAATTCGTTTTGGTCCGAATATGAATTCGAACGTATTTCGGGCAATTCGGACATTCAGGTACTTCCGAATTCCCGAATAAATGAATTGCCGAATTGTTGAAGTCCTGACTTTCCGAAATTACCGAATTTCCAAAGTGTTGAATTGCCGAAGTGCCGCAGTTCCAAAGCACAGTATTGCCTAAGAACTAATATACTTACCCAGTGGTAGAATGAAGAATGTTACACTGTATACAATTTTAAATAAAAAGTATACAAACATAGCCAGGAATCAGCTGTAAGAATTTGCAACACTTACAACAAATCAAGTAACATACATTCATATAAAATGTAAGTTACTTAGCCAGTCAGTGTAATGACAGGAATGAATAAGTAGATAACTCCCTAATTCCCATGGTATCAGGGAGCTATCTACTAAATTTAGGTCTTTCAGCCAAATTTACTAATACTAAGTAAAAATTACTTAGTATTAGTAAATTATGCCCCTACTCGCTATACCGCGAGTAGGGGCATGTTTATTAAACAGTGAACAGTAGTGATGTCCCGAACTGTTCGCGAACAGTTCGCCACGAACGGTTCGCCATGGACTCATCATTGAGTAAACCTTGACCCTGTACCTCACAGTCAGCAGACTCATTCCAGCCAATCAGCAGCAGACCCTCCCTCCCAGACCCTCCCACCTCCTGGACAGCATCCATTGTGAAGCTGCATTCTTAGTGAGCTGTCCAGGAGGTGAGAGGGTCTGGGAGGGAGGGTCTGCTGCTGATTGGCTGGAATGTGTCTGCTGACTGTGAGGTACAGGGTCAAAGTTTACTCAATGATGAGTCCGCGGCGAACCGTTCGGGACATCACTAGTGAACAGCTGTTACTGTGTAATTTGACTCATTACTCTCTGATTGGTTACTTAATCCACCAATCAGAGAGTAATGAGTCAAATTACACAGCGTGGGAAAATTCCAAAGAACTTTCCCACGCTGTGTAAAATGACACAGAGCACACTGATTGGTGGATTTCAAGCTAACCGATCAGAGTGCTGTGACAGGTAAATGTAGAGACTTACCTGTCAGTCTCTTTATTTACCTGTCAGAGCACTTTGATTGGATGGCTTAAACCCACCAATCAGAGTGCTCTGAGCCTAACTGCAGGGCAGGGCAAGGCTTTATAAGCCTTCCCCCACCCTGCAGAGCTCAGTCTGCACGGAGCCCTCCATGGGTGAAGATGGATTTTTTTTTTTTTAAAGTGCGTCGGTTATTATGGATTTTTTTATTTGGCCTTTTTTGGGGCTGAAAAAAAGATTTTAGAAGAAAGAAAACATCAAATGGTAAGTTTTTTTTATTTTTTTCCAGGTACTTAGTTAAATGGTCCCCCCTCATTATTAGGGTGAGGGGGGGGAAGTAGGGGTTAATTTTTTGGGGGGAGGGAGGTGACTACGGGTTTGGGGACCCCTAGTCACCCGGGGGAGTGGGGTTATTTTTTTTATTTAGGGCCCCCACCCACTGCTCAGGGGTGGGGGCCGGGGGGAGAACATTAGGTCCCCCCCTAATTAGTATTTTAGGGCCCCCACCCACCGCTCAGGGGTGGGAGCCAGGGGGAAGACATTAGGTCCCCCCCTAATTAGTATTTTAGGGCCCCCACCCACCGCTCAGGGGTGGGAGCCAGGGGGAAGACATTAGGTCCCCCCTAATTAGTATTTTAGGGCCCCCACCCACCGCTCAGGGGTGGGACATTAGGTCCTCCTAGTGTTCCTCAACCCTCCCTCTTTTTTAGTGTTTTTCCCTTTTGGAACATTTACTCCTGTGAATTTTGCAGTGACTAGTCTCTCTTGAAACTCTAGAAGCACATCAATAGGAGAGTTAACCACAAGAGCAACTAGTGCATTTTCTTCTCAATAGTATGCGTAAGTGAATGAGGCAAGTATCTGCAAGTACACAAACCTGTATTTATGACACTATATTGTTTTGATAATTGGCTCCCCTCCAAAGGTGCGTTTATTCCCCTTTTTTCCCCATGCCAATGTCGCCGTGCATAAACCCACCTTGATGACTGAGATTAGTCTTGATGATCGTAGGATCGTAGGAAAGCATTGGGAAATATTGAGCATGCATGGCAAAATGCTCCGCCAATCATCATCTCCTTGTTGAATCAAAGCATCTCTATGGGGAACGTTCAGCGCCTCCATGCAGAGTGTGGAGACACTGAATATCAGTGCTGCATGTTGTACAGCACTGACCCAGGAAGCTCCTCTAGTGGTCGCCACCAGAGGTGTCTGCCACAAGAGGTGTTATTAAGCTGCAATGTAAATCCTGTCTTTTCTCTGAAAAGGCAGTGCTTGTATTAAAAATCCTGCAGGGACAGGCTATAGACACCAGGAACACTACATTAAGCTGTAGTGGTTCATGTGACTATGGTGTTCCTTTAAGATCTGTTATTTTTGTCGTTGAAAATGAAATTGTGTTAGTTAAAAAAAAAACTGGCTCCCAACTTTTTTAGCAGGCTCCTAGATTCAAAGCAAATTTAGCAAGCCCTGATTTAACCCTATATATAAAAATGTCTATTTGTGAAAAATAAATGTAGATATCCACACCTTTTTATCCTGCAACTTTTATTTTATTATTCTAGCTCGCTGTCAGTCACTGTTATAAGCTCTGTGCGTTGCGTCTGACAGCACAGAGAGAGCATGCAGAGAAGAGGAGACATAAAATAAAAGTTTCTATTACTCATTTTCATTCATTGCCTTTGCCTTGTTTGAACTGGATTGTGATGCCACTCGCTTAATGTTTCATATACATTTGAAATAAAACAGAGCATCATATGGGGGGAAAAAAGGGGGAAAAAAACTAAAAAGGGTTAAAGGACCACTCTAGGCACCCAGACCACTTCAGCTTAATGAAGTGGTCTGGGTGCCAGGTCCAGCTAGGGTTAACCCATTTTTTCATAAACATAGCAGTTTCAGAGAAACTGCTATATTTATGAATGGGTTACGCCTTCCCCCTAATCCTCTAGTGGCTGTCTCATTGACAGCCACTAGAGGCGCTTGCGTGCTTCTCACTGTGAAAATCACAGAGAGAGCATGCCAGCGTCCATAGGAAAGCATTATGAATGCAGCTCTTGCCGCGCGTGCGCATTCAGTCGACGGGGAGGAACGGAGGAGGGTCGGAGGCAGAGAGCTCCACGCCCAGCGCTGGAAAAAGGTAAGATTTAACCCCTTTCCCCCTTTCAGAGCCGGGCAGGAGGGGGACCCTGAGGGTGGGGGCACCCTCAGGGCACTATAGTGCCAGGAAAACGAGTATGTTTTCCTGGCACTATAGTGGTCCTTTAACAAGTTATAGGTGATTTTCATGTTTTATTTATTGGTGTAAATGTAAAATGTGTCCAGTCTGAAAGTAAACCATATTTAAGTGCTTTGTGTTACAATAATGGATTAATGTAGTAAAACATGCAAAATAATAAAATAACAAGATTAAAAATAAAATATGATCACATTTTTAGATTGAGCTTTTACTGCATACCCCAGAGCTTGCAGTTTCTGCAGTAAACTGCCCTACGCCAGGATGTGGAAGACATTTCAGTAAACAAGGATACTGCTATTGATCTCAAAAGATAGTTCAGAGGGCAATTCTCAAAAACTCTGCCCAGCAGGTCATTGTGAGATTTGTATTTCAGCAATTTTTCAATAGTTTTATTTATGAAAAGAATAAAAGTGATGCGCAAGTTAATGGAAGCTAAGTCACATCTTCTCTCAGCTGAACTAAAAGAGTAGAAACATATAATTTTAGAAATAGAAAAAAAAATCCACATACACATCAGACAGTCAAGAAGGAAAGTGAATTTTACAAATTGCTGCATTTATAAAGCACTATGAGTGAGAGTAGGTGCAGGATGTTCTACGCATCTTCAATGTTGTGATGATGCCTAAAGTGACCTTTTAAACTAGCCACCGAACACTTGTGAACTGTATCTTCTATGTAAATAATACATTTTTTAGAGGAAACGGATATGTTTTATATTATTATTTTTTTTTAGTGTGTTATTTGTCACAGAATATAATTTTACTTCATATAGTAGTATAAAATAAAGGTTAATAAAGCCAAAAATGCATATTTAACATAGTTTGTTTTTATATTTACTTTTTTAACACAATCTATTTAAAGGAAAATAAAGGAAATTTAAAAGACCACTATAGGCACCCAGACCACTTCAGTTCAATGAAGTGGTCTGGATGCCAGGTCCATCTAGGGTTAACCCTGCAGCTATGTTTAAATTAGGGTTAATCCAGCCTCTAGTGGCTGTCTAACTGACAGCTGCAAGAGGTGCTTCCGCACTTCTTACTGTGAAAATCAAAGTGAGAAGACGCTGGACGTCCATAAGAAAGCATTGAGTAATGCTTTCCTATATGGACTGATTGAATGCGCACGCGGCTCTTGCAGCGCATGCGCATTCAGTGCTGACGTCAGCAGGAGGAGGAGAATTCCCCAGCGACGAGGGAGCCTGGTGCGGGAGAAAGGTAAGTGATTAAGCCCTTCAGCCCAGTAGGAGTGGGACCCTGAGGGTGGGGGGAGCTAAAGACCCTATAGTGCCAGGAAAACGAGTTTGTTTTCCTGGCACTTTAGTGGTCCTTTAAGCGAACCAGAACTATAAGCAATAAACATGAATACATTTTCAGCAGTGTGCATTAACTTAATTAGATAAAAACCACGGATGCAAAAAAAAATTACAGTAAAACTACAGGCAAGAGCATGTTTCAGCTTCTCCTTTTATTAACCGGTTTGGCCTGAAACAGTAAAGCATTGTCACATTCCCCATTTTTCCAACTTTTACCAATTGGTTTACATTGCTAGGAATTCAATTTAACAATAAATGTGGCAAAATTCTATGAAAAGAAGCAGATTTGCACTTCACCTGCGATTTGGATATTTACAAAAAGAAAGTCCAATTGGAATTCAGGGATTTGCACTGAATGACTGCTTCATATTCAGTATAATCCAACATCTGGTTCAAAAAGACTAACAGGGTAATTCACTAAACTCTAAATGGCCCCGTACTGAGTAGGCTACACTTGTGTAACTTTCACCTCAGATCCGGCCCCCTTCCTACTTATTTCCTCATTAATGTGCCCTTCTTGGGGACACTTCTCTGTGCAGGGCAAACCTCTTCCATGTCGACACACTGGCTTCATTACCAGCATGCTGGCATTTAAATGAAGTGCTAGCACAATGTTTAAATGAAATGAGATTTGATGCTCTTTAACCCCTTAAGGACACGACATGTGTGACATGTCATGATTCCCTTTTATTTCAGAAGTTTGGTCCTTAAGGGGTTAAAAAAAAAAAAAGCATTAGTAGTTTGGGAGAGGACCTTTCTAAAAGTATATATTAAAAACAACTAGCCTACTGGGTCAATATGACCCCCATTTTACTATTAGTTAGGCTGTAGACCTCCCTAAAACATAACGGTGTAAGCTGTGTCCCCATCGATTATAAGAATTGGGTATTGGACTTTAAGTTTAAAAAATAAAATACATGGGGCTTGCACAGATCACTGCACACCTTTTCCCACTTGTGGTCCGCAGGTGGGAGCTACTTATTACAGGAGGGACCTAATTCCACCCAGCTCAAAGATCACTAGAGGCGCTTCCCTACAACTCCTGAGTAACAAAATCATTCATCTCAGATTGGCCAGTGACAAGAAAACTGGATGACATCACAGGAGGTGGAGTGGCCGGCAGTGCCGAGGGAGTCTCAAAGCTTAAGTAAGTTTTTTTTTTTTTTAAATAAGGTTTTTATCGGAAACCAAGGGGGACAACTTAAATATATCTGCAACTAGGGCAGTATAGTTACAAAATTACAGATTTGTATTCCTAATGTTATGGTGCTCCTTTAATGGCATGTCCACTACCCTTGTATATTTTCATATTAGCCCCACCTGCTGCCCAAGAGTAGGGTCATTCAGTTCCTCCCCCCATTATTACAAAAATAGCACCCAGCTGCGACCTATGAATGCAGGCCGGGGAGGGACGTTAGCTCCCCCCATTTAGTAAGTACACCCCACCCACTGATCATGGTGCTTTGAAAATATTCTGAATCCTATATGTTTTGAATGTAAAAAGCACTGATTTTATTCTGGATGCAGTATGCAGCCTGCCAACTGATGCAGATTCTGTCGGGTTGGCAGATTTCCAACAGGAATAAGCTCTAGTAAATATGAGAATTGTCATTGCAGCTGAAATTTGACCATTTTCACTGGATTTTGACCATTCATCTTTTTCTGATACAGAAGCATTAGATCCAATGCTTCTGTATTAGGAGCAGTGAATGCTATACTGCGCATGTGTGAGGTGTGTGTGTTAACGAGTTGCGAGTTGAGCAGAGTGACAGCTCATCTTGCTGTTAAAGCCCATCAGACCATGCAAGAGACAGAGGGAAATGATTGAGGACGGTACCAGACCAGTAAAGGGGTGGAAAAGGGGAGGGCTTTCCTTTAATATGTTTGGAGACAGGGAAGGACGGGAGATGAAAGAGGTAGGACTGCACGCTGGCAATGGTTTGCGTGGGTGGATGGGCAGACAAGAGAATCGCCTGCCTTTAAAATGACTCAAATTTAGAGCCGTAATGATTGTCAGAACTACTGTTAAAAAAAGCACTACACATCCTACCATAGCACAAATGAACAAGGCTTCTATCAACGTCAGGCTCATTACATCCTGAAGGGATTCCTTCTTTAAGTTAAGATAGAGAGAAATACCTTTGACAAGAAAACTAGAGGTACGTTGAATAATTATCCAAACTTCTCATTTTGATCTACTTTTTGCAATGCGGTTGTCACCTCACCGTGGTTTGCGGTTTAGCCACTAAAGCCAATAATAATTTGAGTATATTCCACTTATTAACCAACTATTTATGTACCTGGGTCTGATAAAACAGGGGTTTCCTTTGATGTATATCCGACTATGCCAATTTTTTCAGGACCAACCTCTAAGATTTTATAAGGAAGATAGTATCCAGTAATGTTGGGAGCCACTTGTTTCTCTGCTCTAATGTTTGCACTCAGAATAGGAAATTGCACTTTCATTAGAAAAGGGTTCAAAAGTCCAGAAATCCCGTTGTCAAATTCATGATTCCCAAGTGCCTAAAACAAATACACAAACATATTTAACTTGGCATTATGTCATCCCAAAAGTTGCAAAGCAAAACAACAGAAAGCACACTTTTTGTATAATCGTAAGGAAGAGTGAAAATGTTTTAGGATAATGTATCAAGTATATAATACATCCCTGACTCCTCTAAACCCTTTTGAGCTCAGCAGCTCTATCCGAACTCAACCCAGCAGTGCAGGGTTTAGCTATTAACTGGGAGCAGTCGACTGACCTTCTCAGCAAATGAGCTAGTCCTGAACTCCAGGGCTTAGCTCAGGAAAGCAAACAGGAGCTCCTAAGCAAGACCTTTTGGCTCTCAGAGATGGGATGAGGAGCAGCACACTGCAAACTCCAGGTAAGAAGACAAACATTTCTAACCAATGATGGACTTACAATGGGGGAAGGTAGGACACTCCTTGCACAATAAGCACTGTAGTGTACTGTAATGATCATTGTGCTTGGAATGTTCCTAGAGGCTATTGTAGTGGAAGCTGCAGACGTGATTTGAAATAGGCCCTAAGCAGCCACAGTATAAATATTCATTTTCTCTTATTCATTATAAAATAGATTTCCACCAGCACAATGGCACTCCAGTCATTACGTATCTACGCTGCGTGTCCTATTTTACCCCTTTGAAGTACTGGACAGAATTTCCGTCATAATCATGGCAGTCCTACCCTTAAGGACATATGATGGAAAATGTCTGTCTGTTATTAAAATTAATGCAAGATCATCGCTAATGCAGTGATAGCGGGGTTAACGCTGTCCCTGCACATGTGATCGCCTTGATAGCCAGTCACAGTGACCACTGTGCGTCTGGGACACCCGATCCACCTCCCTCCACCTCTGTCTCAGCTAAGAGAAACAGATCGGTGCTGATCTGTTTTTCCCTGCAAAGTAAAAATTGTTAATAAAAGAATCCCAACACTCTTGTTCTACCCTGTTCTAATAAAATTTAACCCCTGTCTACAGTGATCAAAATACAGATCATAGTATTTAAATGTATTTACATTTGTTATTGTAATATTTTTAAATTGGTTCTTAATTAACTGGGGTGGGTGGGAAATTGTGGAATTTAGTGTTTGGCTAGTTAGAGGTTAACAGTAAAAGGTTTTAAAAAGTAAAAAATGTTTTTTTTTTTTAAAGTTTAGAAAAATAAATGCTTATTACCACTACACTTGGTACAAACTAGTGACAAAATTATCCCACACTAAAGTTTTAAACATGCCTTTTGAAATACCCTAGAGTGTCTTCTTTAAGAAATGGCAGGCCTTTGTAGGGTAGTTTGAATAAGCAACCTGCTAAAACGCTCCAAAATGGAAATTGGACCCATCAAAATCATCTATGAAAATTCACAGTTAAAAAAGCGAAAATTGTCATTCTCTTAGAGCATAATTTGGAGGATTTTATCACAGTGGCAAATATCAGATGTATAAAATATTAAGCTGTAGTGGTTCTAGTGACTAATGTCTCTTTCCTATTGTTCTTAGTTAAGGAGGGCTCTATAAAAACTGTATGGCATATCTACAGGGTAACATGCATAGCACAGATTCATTTGTTAGCCAGGCATGTTCTTCATGTAAGAATTAAAACACCAATATTTGTTTTTCATTCTGTTGGAATTTAGGATTAATTCCCAAAATCTCAGTTTGTATTTTGTTATATCTGCTGTGTGACAAAAACATCCCTGTTCTGATATAGGAGTACAGTCTGAAGTATTGCAAGAAAATGCATTTAATATGTTATATCTCATCAATATTTTTGCTATTTTATTTTTATTTTTTTTATCATTGATTCGCAATCTATACACCATATAGCGCTCTACTAGCTATTAATCCCAAGTCTTGAATAAAATGTTACACTTTTGTGTTACAAAATAACACTGTAATTGTTAGCACGTCAATAGTGAAGTGTCAAAGTAATATAAATGAAAGCAGAAATGCCCTTACAGAGGCACTCATAAAAAAGTTTATATTTTAAAGCAATTTGTTAAAATTAATAGAAGAAACAAAACTGTGCATAAACTCCACATGTTAAATGAACAACAAAAAAAGTGCAAAAATGTACCTACATACTATTCAAGGTGAGTGAAAAGAGACTGGCCTTGTAAGAATTATAACCACAATTGGTATCCGTTACTAAGTAACAAGAACGTTACACTATATCAAATCTTCATATCTTTTTGAATTTGTAACCACCCTCGGTAAGGTAATAAATTAGTTGTATTTGATTGGGTCACCCAAGCTTTTAAAAAAATAATCAAAAATCACATTAATTTTGCAAACCAACAACAAAAGTAGCTAAAAATAGTAAAAAAAATAAAAAATTAATGTGAGTAGATTTGCTGGTTGCTACTTTTAGGTAAAGTCAGATGCACATGCCATCCCTATAGAAAAGCATTGCTTCCGTGCTTTCCTAAGAGGATTTTACTGATGTTGGATGTCCTCAGAGCATGAGGGAGATTGCACCCAGACCACTTCAATGAGATGAGGTGGTCTGGATGCCTCAGTTGTCCCTTGAAAGAATACCCATAAACATAAAGTACAGTGAAACAACTCTCCTTTGTACTGATATGACCTCCCCAATTAAAGCCACACTATAGTGTTAGGGAGTGTCATGGTCTGGGCCTGCATGAGTGCTGCTGGCACTGGGAAGCTACACATCATTGAGGGAACCATGAATGCCAACATGTACTGTGACATACTGAAGCAGAGCATGATCCCCTCCCTTCAGAGACTGGGCCGCAGTGCAGTATTCCAACACGATAATGACCTAAAACACACCTCCAAGACGAACACTGCCTTGCTAAAGAAGCTGAAGGTAAAGGTAATGGACTGGCCAAGCATGTCTGCAGACCGAAACCCTATTGGGCATCTGAGGGGCATCCTCAAATGGAAGGTGGGGGAGCGCAAGGTCTAACATCCACCAGCTCTGTGATGTTGTCATGGGGGAGTGGACTCCAGTGGCAACCTGTGAAGCTCTGGTGAACTCCATGCCCATGAGGGTTAAGTCAGTGCTGGAAAATAATGGTGGCCACACAAAATATTGACACTTTAAGCCCAATTTGGACATTTCCACTTAGGGGTGTACTCACTTTTGTTGCCAAGGGTTTAGACATTAATGGCTGTGTGTGGAGTTATTTTGAGGGGACAGCAAATTTACACTGCTATACAGGCTGTACACTTACTACTTTACATTGTAGCAGAGTGTCATTTCTTCAGTGTTGTCACATGAAAAGATATATTTAAATATTTACAAAAATATGATGGGTGTACTCACCTTTCTGAGATACATTTGTGTAGCGGTTATGGATTCTGGGACTACTAGAACAGATTAATCGCAGCATTCCAAATTTTGCAAGGATTTAGCTTTAAAACAGTAATTCACTCCTTGCAATATTTGTTTTAGAACATCTAAAAATGAATTTTAATCCAAGACATATTGGGCATTTTAACAATCTGGACTAATGAATGAATCTATTTTGAGTTAGTTTTCTTTTTTTGCACTTGCAGTATAAATATTGTTAAAAGAAAGATTGTTTAAAACATTTATTCAATTTAATATTGAATTATGTATACATGTAGAGTATCAAAAGAAAGCCCTATTTAAATTATAAATATTAATAGACATGTGCAATTCGTTTCAGGCAGAATATGAATTCGGACGAATTTCAGGCAATTCGGACATTCGGGTACTTCCGAGTGTCCGAATAGCCGAAGTGCTGAATTACTGAGGTCCCGAAATTACCGAATTTCCAAAGTGTCGAAGTGCTTAAGTGTCGAAGTGCCGAATTGCCGAAGGTCCGAAGCCCAGTATTGCCTAAATACTAATATACTTACCCAGTGGAAGAAGAAGGTGTAAAATGACACAGAGCACTCGGATTGGTGGATTTCAAACCAACCAACCAGAGTGCTGTGACAGGTAAATGTAGAGACTTACCTGTCAGTCTCTTCATTTACCTGTCAGAGCACTCTGATTGGATGGCTTAAGCCTTCCCCTGCCCTGCAGAGCTCAGTCTGCGCGGAGCCCTCGCCGGGTGAAGATGGATTAAATTTTTTTTTTTTTTTTTTAAGTACGTCGGTTATTATGGCTTTTTATTTGGCTTTTTTGGGGGCTGAAAAAAGAAGATTTTAGAATAAAGAAAACATCAAATGGTAAGTTTTATTTATTTTTTTCCAGGTACTTCATAAAATTTTCCACCCTCATTATTTTTAGGGTGAGGGGATAGGTAGGGGTTAATTTTTGGGGGGAGGGGGGTAACTAGGGGTTTGGGGACCCCTAGTCACCCACAGAAGTGGGGGTTATTTTTTTTATTTAGCGCCCTCACCCACCGCTCAGGGGTGGGGGCCAGGGGGAGGACATTAGGTCCCCCCCTAATTAGTATTTTAGGGCCCCCACCCACCGCTCAGTGGTTGGGGTTAGGGGGGAGGACATTAGGTCCCCCCCTAATTAGTATTTTAGGGCCCCCACCCACCGCTCAGGGGTGGGGGCCAGGGGGAGGACTTTAGGTCCTCCCCTTCATTCTAATTTAGGGCCCCCACCCACCGCTCAGGAGTGGGGGCTGGGGGGAGGACATTAGGTCCCCCCATTCTAACTTAGGGCCCCCACCCACCGCTCAGGGGTGGGGGCCGGGGGGAGGACAACAGGTCCCCCCCCATTATTTTATTTTAGGGCCCCCACCCGCCGCTGGGGGCCGGAGAGGGGCAATAGTCCCCCCTTTAGTTTAAAAGCTCGGGAGGGGGGACCCATTTTTAATTTTTTTTTTTTTTTATTAACAGTGAGCAGCCACTGGCTGCTCACTGTTTAATAGACATGCCCCTACTCGCAGTATAGCGAGTAGGGGCACAATTTACTAATACTAACTAAATTTTTACTTAGTATTAGTAAATTTGGCTGAAAGACCAATTTAGGTCTTTCAGCCTTTTGGTAGATAGCTCCCTAATACCGTGGGAATTAGGGAGTTATCTACCAAGCGGCTGCAAGAGACGTTCCGAAATTCCGCAGTCCGGAAATTACAGAATTTCCGAAGTGTCGAAGTCTTGAATTTCGGAATGCCGAACCGAACAGAAAATTTTTCCCATGCACATGCCTAAATATTAATATGTACGGGTGCACTTACACAGAAAGGGTGAAATTGTGTCAGAACGAAGGCATGAAAAAAAAACACCAAAAAGGACTTGGTCACATGTTGCATCTCAAAAAAGCTTTAATGTCTAATAGGTTCAAGTTTCTTATATAAATATTATTTATTTCACTATTGCTCTCCCATGCTTTATTTTATAATAAGACAGTGCTTTGCTATGATCTTTTCTTTCCTGTCTTTCTGTGATTCTTTTTTTGGATACCTATGTTTGAGATCAACATTCCGGAGGATTTTTTTTAATATATTCCAACTCTCCATTTATGGAGCATATGTGCACAATCGTACTTATTAGCTGCCAGGTTTTCAGCATGTTCTGTGTAAACACATTGTAGATCACTGTAAATTTTACGTACACATTTCATATATCATGGTGATGCTGAAAGGTTTTCATCAAAGTAACTATAACAAGAGACATATAAACAAAACAAAAAACTGCTCTCCTGCAGCATGATCTATGCAGGATAATGTTATGGCATATATTTTTGTATATGTTCAGTTTTGAATGACGTTTTTAGTCAATAAACAAAAACTTTCAAACCACAAGATGATCGAACTAAAAAAATAAAGTAAAACCAGGGGTTGAAAGCTATTAAAATATAAATATTTAACACACCCAAAGAAATACAAACAATAAAAGCGTACATAAAACACTGATGAAAAGAAAGCATTGTATTTTTACATCACCTTCAGTTGTACAAACACCCTCCCAGTGGAGAGAACACGCTTGTATATTTCATAAAATAGCTATTAGTACAATGTGACCAGTGTAATCTTAAACCTTTGGCTTGCACTTCTGATTAAATCGCTCTCTGTCTGCGTTGGGTTATTCTCTCTACTTTGCCATGTTAAGACTGGTCAAAGACCAGCTATACATGGGCTTTTCTTTCCTGCCTTAGGTTTTACAAGTTCTGCATGGTAGTCTTATACCGAAAGTCTGAAGCATGGGCATATCATGATTAATCATGAAAATCCAAACAGTGACATGGAAATCCAAACAGTAATAGGTTAAGATGAATTGACACTTTCTATTTGTATGGTCCTCTTTTTCTAAAGAGAGTGTTTTGAATTTATGAATCCATGTATAATACTACCAGTTGTTTCAGTGACCACACAAGGAAATGCGATCGTTTCAGTTCTTTTTAGTATGACGTACATTTGCCCATCAGTCACTAATATTGTGACAAAGTCCCTGTTGGACTTGCCCCAGAGTCATTCTCCTACTCAGTTTGGACATTTACTTAATATTTTATTCCCCTATTCTGCTACCATTTGAGGATACTAAGTACCGAACACCGACCACCCCCTGGCTCATTAAGTTCAAAGAAACCACAAGAATTCAGTGCTCATATTGTCGCACAAAAAGCAGGAAGCGTGTCTTAGTCATCAAGTGCCTGGAACTCTTAGGTAGCCACTCGACGGCAAGCTAGGAGAACGCTGTTCGGCAGGTTTGTTCAACTGGATCTCCCGAATAAACACTGCCAATGAGACAGGGGACCCGTTCACCTTTTTATCCGTTCACCATTTCATTCAGTTAAAAAAACTCTTGAACTAAACCGACCGTTACCTCTGAAACTAGTGAATTATTTTGGGCAAGCATCTCAGTGTTGATTCGACTATGTTCATGGGATCTGAGCGTTTTTTGGATATGTTGGGCGCTCATGTCTAAGCTATCTGGTGATGTATAGACTATGGGGGTTCAGTAATGCGAAAAGTGTTTGGAGTTTGTGAAAAAGTAAATGTTCTCTGTACCTGGAGATAACGGAGTTTAATACAGTACTTAACCCAATTATGTTCTTCTATGCTTGGATTTTGGGAGATTCTTCACGTATATACTCAGTCAGAGTATAGGGGATCCGTTACAAATATGCAGATTGAAGAATACTGTACAAGGAGACCAAGTGGCTAATATCTTTTGGATTTATGGACACGCGAATTAAGACTTCCCCATAGGAAAGCATTGAATCAATGCTTTTCTATGTGGTTTTGCATGACACTGGACAATAAACTCTGAAAAGCCAGGAAGTGCCTCTAGTAGCTATCTTGTAGACAGCCACTAGAGGCAGTCTTAACCCTTTAAAGTAAACATTACAGTTTCTCTGAAACAGCAAAGTTTTACATTGCAGGGGACAGGCAGGGTTTTACATTGCAGGGGACAGCTACACTGCACTAGAGCCGATCCTGGGTGATTACAGATGGCCCAGGTGCTCTGTAGATAAGGATTTAGTGAATTACCAAACTATATAAATTATGCAGACATACACATGTAAACTCTGGTCCATCTACTTTAAATATTTATACAGAAACAAAACAACATACAAATAATGACACACAATCTAACTAAAACAACAACAAAAGGCCGAATCTAACTAACCAACAGCTAAACCTTATAAAATCATCAGATCCCACTCACAGTTCACCATGATAACCTTAGCTCATGTCTGTTCACATGACTGCTCAGTAGCACAGCCAAAATTGAACAGGGAGGAATGGAGACAGGGGGAAGTGGTTATATATTTCCGACCCCTATTGTAAGGAAAAGAATATACTAACATGCTAATAGAAATATAAGAATAATAAACAATAAAAAAAATGAAAAAAAAAGGAAATAAAAAAATAAAACCAAAAAGTAAAAAAGATACGTATCTAGACATAAAGATAAAGATCAGCATGAAAAGGTCTGGATATGTGCACCATCTATATATT